TTATATTTTTTTAATAAATTAACATTTTAATTAGTAGTCATAATTCAGCTCCTCTTGGCGTCTCAACAAATGAAACTATAAGGACAGTTATGTGGCCAAGATGAAGGAGTAAGACAGAGCCATATTTCTTGGATGGTTTCCAGAAAAAAGTTGCGTGGTCTTGCAATTGTTAGTATCGACTTAGATGAACAGAGATATTTAAATTCCATTAAATAATAAATAATAATAATTATTTATTATTTATCAATTATAAATTATATTAAACATGAAATCCAAATAAAAGCTCAAATTTCTTTAAGTTTTTAACTGTTAAGCTTTGATAGGTCTTGAATTTTGTTGTAGATGCTCTCCATTTTGGTAAAGGCTAATTCAAACAGAATCTCAAATTTATTTTAATTTGTTGGCATGTTTTAGAAAAAAAAAAAAAAAAGGGTTAAAATGCCTAGACAACTAGGCAGTGGCCCAATTCCAACACGATGACACCTAGCGATAAAATTGCATTTTATATATTTAGACTTGATTTTATTTATATTTGGATGAGTAGAGTGTGGTTTTTCTTTTTTCTTTTTTTTTTTTTTATGGATTTTACATAAATTTCATGTTTGTGCAAAAAAGACTTCAGTGCATAAAAATAGAACTTATGGGATTTAAGTACAAATCTTTTAAAAGTTTTGGGTCTACATTGCATGAAGAAAAGTTGAATTCGGGAACTAAATTGAATAAATATAATGTTTATGGATCAAAATGATAACAAATTGTAAGCTGAAGAACCAAATGTGACATTTTACCATTAAAGAAATTACAAAAGATTCAAAAACTCGACGCGGACTAGGTGTCGATACCACGTAGAAGAATCGACACCCATGATTGCATCAAACAAGGCCGGTTTAAACTCATTTTAGAACATTCTTACGTATCTCATTTTTAGTTCTTTAATTGAAAAAAACTCTTTATTTTGTCCCTTAAAACTAAATTTTTTACTTATTTTTAACCCATTTGTTAGTTCCAGAAAATGTTAGGTGTACTTTTTACCTTCTACCGTCCTTATTCAATATTAAAATTTGTGGACTTTTTAGAGATGAAGGGTGGGTGGTGGAAAAATTCAAAAAAAAAAAAAAATTGAAACTAACCAAAATCATAACCAATGTATTGGCTTTAATTGGGTTTTGGATTTTTTTACTAAAAATTAAGCCAAGCAAATTTCAAATGTTTGAGTTTTGATCATTAAGTTTGAAACTTAAAAAATCGATAAATTAAGCAAATAAAATTAAAAAAATCTGATTTAAAAATCTTTTATATAAATTTTTTAGTGAATTCTAAATTTGTTTTAGGTTTTCTTGCCACTTTCGCTCAAATTATTCATTTATTTTGGTAATTTTTAGCTTTTTAATGATTAAGATTAATAAATTAAAAAACATAAAAATAATTTTTTGAATGAAACCAAAACTAATTCGAATACTTATTTTCCAAAAAGTAATCAAAACTAACAAAGCCTATTTTTTTTGGATTTAAGTTATTGAACTTTGAAATTTAATAACCAAAAATTTAACTAATCAATGATTCAATTTCAATTATAATCAAAACTAAATCAAGCGAACTCTTAACAAAGAGAGGTGTAATAAGGAGAAAATCAAAATCCAAAGAGAATTAAGATTTAAAATTTTAATTCAACAAACTAACTTTATTTATTGTAGCATTTTTCTTTATGATGTCAAACATTATTATATTTATCAAGAAATATTTAGTTTTTTCTATTTAATTATAAACAGAGATTAGGAAAAATCTCATGTTAACTCCCTAAACTAATTTTATATTCTTAATTAAGCCTCTAAAGTTTTTTAAAATCAAGTAAGCTCCTAAACCTCATGATTTATGCAATTTTGCTCTTTTCTTAACAGTGGATTTTTAGTTGTAGACAAAGAAAGACTTGGGTAATTCAAGGGCTTTAAAGGATAAAAATGTGAAAAATATAAAAGTTTGGGGGGCTAATGTAATGAACGAGGTTCTCTCAGTTTCATCAAAAAAAAAAAAAACAAAAGAAGGCAGGTATCATTTGGCCGGAAAATAGAATATTCTTAGTCAAAAAGGAAAATAAAAAGGCAAACTCAACCACGGTTAAGATCCAACCGTAGTTAATCAACCTTAGTCAAGGGAAGACCTATGGACCCTCGGAAACAGATCCAACGGCTCGCGTGAGACTCACGGAGAAAACTGGGGTTACGCAAAATTTTCAATTTTCCCCTTCTCTTCCAGAGAATACCCAGATCGATCTGTTCACAGAATCGATAAAAATCGAGTAAAAGTCTAGATTTTGATCCGGCCTCAGATGGAGATGGATTATGTTACGGAGTTTCCCCACAGTCACATGGATCGCCGTCCCCGGAAGAGGGCGAGGTTAGGCTGTGAGTTCAATCAAGCTCAAGAAAAGGTATAATCTTTGTATATTTCTTTCGTTTTTTTGGAAAATTTCTGGATAGGAATACTGTTGATTCGGTGGAAAATTCATCTGTGAATTTTCTGGGATAAATTATTTAACTTTCAATTAGCTAAATCTTTTATTTCATTTTTTATTCTTTTCTGTTAATATTTTATTTTTTGGTTGGAAGTTTGAAATTAAAGATCATTAATCTTTTTTTAGCGTTCAGCATCTAGGCGATCTGTTTTTTCTTTTAGATGAAGAACGATTTTTTTTTTTTATTATTATTGAATTTCTGGTTAAATTGGTGATTGTTTAGTTGGAGTTGATTCATTTGATTTACCTTAATTTTTGTTTTTAAATAATTATTACTTGGAGAGAAATCTGAACATGAATGGTAGTTTGTTGCCATATGAAAGATTTAAATGTTCAATTATATATATTTTCGTATTGATGTGTATGTATTTGTCTTTGCGTGTAGATCTGTAGCTTCATTGGAATGAATATGTAAATTACTGTTGTTTGCTTCATCCTGTCGACATGGACAAGAACCTGTTCATACTTAGTGCCTGATTGGATTGAAACTCCACTCTTTTTAAGTTATTTACATTTTTCTATGATTTTGTTTTGGTGCTTTCAATCGTATGTTAAAATTAGGTAACAAAGTTTTGTTCTTTTCCTTCTGGAGAAGATTATTAGGTGAGACTTTAAAATGGAAAATTTGATGGAGGGGATAAGTTTTTGAATACTATTTGTTTAGTGGAGTATGAATGAATGGCTGTGTGTAGGCTCAGTCTGGAATGTATTATGGGCAAGATGTTGGAAATATGTCAAGCTTTGGGCCTTCGAGGGTACTTCCAGATCATGCTAATCTATTTGAAAAGGGATTGGCTTCAAAAGGCTCTCCCCCATGGCGAGATGATGACAAAGATGGACATTACATGTTTGCACTTGGAGAGAATTTAACTTCTCGCTGTAATTTCACTTAATCACCATTGAAAAGTTTCTTTTATACATTTATCATATTCTTTGAAAAAATACTACTAAAATTTCCCAGACCAATTAACCTGCAAATTGTTATTCTATAATGAAACTGTTGTTTTATTTTTTTCACTTGGTTTTAATGTTTTGTTCTTGTCAAAGTTTTCATTTCCAACCAGTTGTGCTCCTGAAAAAATTTTGTTTTCTTGAAATGGATTTCTTGGTTGTCTGGAGTAATCAAAGAGCTATTGGTTTTAAAAAACTACTTTTGTAATGGGAATTCAACATTTTTCAAGTTCCTGTAATCTGTTGTTCTCTGCAGCAAAACTATATTTTACCTCCTCTTCCTCCTTCCTCCCTCCTCCTTCCTTCCTCCTCCAAAGTGAAAAAGGAAAATTACATGTATGTTAATCCTACTTCGCATTACCTTCCCCATAATTCTTTGTTTTGCAAAAATTGACCTCTCATCGTTCTGAGGTGCATGCATGAAGTCTTTTATCCAAGTCTGGAAACTTGTCATTTTTTCACACTTGATGCATGCTACTTTTGCTGCTTGTTATTATCTGAGCTTTCATCATCGCTGATGGTCTTTTGTTCATGTTTTTGCAGATAAGATCCACCGAAAAATTGGTGAAGGTTGGTTATTAAATTTGATTTGATCGCCAAATGAATCCACGCTTTAATTGCATGTATCCACTTATAATGCTGGTGGCTTTGTGTATTATTTGATTTTGCAGGAACCTTTGGTCAGGTTCTGGAATGCTGGGATAGGGAAACAAGAGAGGTGGTTGCTATAAAAGTTATACGGAGTATTAAGAAATACCGTGAAGCAGCAAAGATAGAAATTGATGTGCTCCAACTGCTTGGAAAGTATGATAAAAATGGAAGCCAGTGAGTGTAATTTTTCTTACAAAGTTTTTTCCCATTGAATCTGTTTTGAGTTGAAACTTGTATCAGTTAAGTGGTTTTATTGTTTGCAGTTGTGTTCAATTACGGAGCTCGTTTGACTACCGTAACCATATCTGCATTGTAAGTACACTAATCATTTACCATTTACTTGGCATTCAAAATTTTTTGGGGGTTAAGACTTGTATGTGGATGTTAATGGCCTGGACAGGTATTTGAGATGCTTGGACCCAGCTTATACGATTTTCTTCGGAAAAATAATTATCGCCCATTTCCAGTTGATCTTGTCCGTGAGCTTGGCAGACAACTATTGGAATGTGTAGCATGTGTGTAGATATTACTTCTACCATTCATCTTTTACTTTACAAAGCGTGCAACAGATTTTGGGGTTCCAAACACCATTATTTTACCATATGCAGAATGGAATGATTGTCTCCATTGTGTAACAAGAGAAGTAATTGGTTACCTTATGCTTTGTTATGATTATTAATTTTATTTGTTTTTATTTATAAAAATATGCAGTTATGCATGATTTGCGTCTCATCCATACTGACCTGAAGCCTGAGAATATACTCTTTGTTTCTCCAGAGTATGTGAAGATACCTGACTACAAGGTATATTCTATATGTGTTTGAATATTCTTGATTATTATGGGCCTTTTCTTTTCTTTGAGATGAGATTTCTGATAAAGCAAATCATCAGAGTTTCTGATTGCCCACTCTTTTGGTGCCAAGTGTACTAGGACGAGGAACAATCATAATATTTGATATTTAATCTTTTTCAATTTTTATCATCCTCATGATCTCCTTTTCCAGGTTACTTCCCGTTCGCCATTAGAAGGAACCTATTACAAGAGGTTGCCAAAGTCAAGTGCTATTAAGGTTATTGATTTTGGTAGCACAGCATATGAGCATCAAGATCATAATTATATTGTCTCTACCAGGCACTATCGTGCACCAGAAGTTATTCTTGGTATGCAAATGTTCTCAATGTCCTTATTTTCTATCTTTATGATTGCTATCTACATGTTATGGTAAAAAAAGCCTGTTTTGCTTATCAGGGCTTGGGTGGAGTTACCCATGTGATTTGTGGAGCGTTGGTTGCATTTTGGTGGAACTGTGCTCAGTATGTGCTGTAAAGTAATTGTTGTGTAAGCCAGCTGCAATATGGTAAAAGTGACACCAACGTGTTTGTTTACAGGGAGAAGCATTGTTCCAAACACATGAGAACCTAGAGCACCTTGCAATGATGGAGAGGGTTTTGGGACCGTTGCCACAGCACATGTTGAAGAGAGTAGAGTATGTCCTCATTCGTGGTTCAGAAGTTGCTGTCTTATTGTCTTTGGAAAATCATTTCTTATAGTTACTAAATTTGCTTTCGTTTAACGTTTTGTCGGTTCAGCCGTCATGCTGAGAAATATGTGAAGAGGGGTAGATTGGATTGGCCAGAGGGTGCTGCCTCTAGAGAAAGCATGAAAGCTGTTCAAAAATTGCCTCGTCTGCAGGTCTCTGCTAGACTTAACTCAGCTTGGAGTTATACTTTATCTGTCTACAGGATTTCGGAGATTTGTCTCTGTTGCCAAACCTATGTATCATTGTCATGCCAGTTTAAATATCTTTTTTTTTTTCTTTCTTTTCAGAATCTAGTGATGCAGCACGTAGATCATTCGGCTGGGGATCTGATAGACCTTTTACAAGGTCTTTTTAGGTTTGACCCATCTACCAGATTAACTGCTCGTCAGGCTCTCAGACATCCTTTCTTCACAAGAGATCAGTACAGGAGATTTTAAGTCCTCCATCTCTGTTTGGGAAACTCCCCTCACGGTTCCGGGTTTCTCATGTTTGTCTGTGAAAGTTAAAGTTTACACTTGGGCATGGCTTTGGGAAAAAATTACCTGCTTATGTGGATTCCAGAATCCGTAGCTTTATAAACAGCTATTGGTCCTGGACTGGCAGGGCAGACCAGGATTCCAGGATTCCTGTAAATTACTTGTTTTTGGGGAAAACAGTCTACAATTCTTTTAAAACGGTGATTCTGTGTAGGAAATTTTTTCCATTTAATAAAAAATGCTCCCGTCTTTTGTTCTTTCCATTATTTAATGTTAACCGTTGTTGTGAGTAGTTTACCTTCTGTCTATTTTTTCCCTTTCAGTTTTTCAAGTACCAGGTTATTTCTACAATCTTTGGTTCGAAAGAAGGGAGAGGAAAAGAGATATGTTTTTTTATAAATTAAGTTGAAATATTAAAAAAAAGAAAAAAGAAAAGAAGAAACGTCTCTCTTCTTTCCTCGAATCAAACATTCAATGCTTGATATCAACATCAAGCTAGCACATTTACTTGGTTACTTGTAAGAAGCGTATATACAAAATCAAAAAAACTTCTATCATAAGTTGAACTGGTAAGGACGATGGACGCTTTCTCGGATTTATTCGGGGCAATTATGGTTTTCTATGGCTAAGGTTTTATGCATTTAGAGACTAGTCAAAGGAATTTAAAAATACATCTTCACTCCCACATCAACATGATGCCTAAGAAATTAGGATCTCATCCGTTATCCCATTCTGTTGTCATCCCTGTTTCTCAGTAATCATCAGCCGACTCTCCTTGTCTGGGAGTAACGTGTGCCACGAAGCTTCATTCAACCCACTTGCTACAATGTCTACAAAGAAATTGAATGCTGTCACGACAACCCTCTGAAAAGTCAGTTGGGGTATCACCAATTTGTTCCCTAATGACAAATTTACATAACATGCGGTTGGCTCATTTTGGCTCTCTTCTCCCTCCCTATGGATCACCATTTAGCTGTCTTTCCCATGTATCTTCACAAAAGTCTTGTTTTGATAAAACCTTTTGGTCATATTTGGGGGGCACTGGCCCGAGAAGAATAATTCAAATATAAGATAAAATTCAGCATATTCCTTACGAGATTCTTTCTGCACAAATTAATGTTAAGTTCTTGTTGATCTTTTTCTGATTTATGGAAAAAATAGAAATAGTCGGAGAAATATAAAATATGTTCAGGTGTGACGTTATTGGGATAATTATTTTATTTTATTTTTTTAATATAATTTTCAGATATTATTAAATAAATATATTTATTTAATATTATTTCATATGAATTAAAAAAATCAACCATTTTAATGACATATCAAATTATACAAAAAAAAAAAATAAAATGATTCTCTCAATAGTATTTTCCATATGTTCCAAAAGCATTTACTATTTCAATAATTTGATTGGTTCAAAATCAATCCGAAGAAGAGGGAAGTTTTTGGGGGTAATTTCTTGTCGTGGTTATGGTTATATCATAATGTTAATATCGTATAATTTAATTTAATTTAATTGTTAAAAATAATCAAGAATTAATAAAAATAATTTATATTTATTATTTAATAGATTAAAATTAATTTATAAAATAATATTTTGAGACATTGTAATTAATTTTTTATAAAAAAAATTATAAATTGATAAAACATCATTCACACTAAATATAATTTTTGTGATTTTAACAAATGATGAGCGATTATAATCACAATAATGGTTGAAGTTGTCAATAAAAAAAAATATTTTTTCGCTTATATAATTAGTGTTCGGCCTTTTTTTCTCTTACGACTAATTCACATACTTTATTAAAATAAATAATTAAAAAAATTTAACAGAAAAATTACAAACTTGAACGTCCCCTGCAATTATGAGTCTCGTGAGGATTTATTCCAAAGTTTTAAACTTGGAATAGGTGGGGACCACGCTGGGACGAAAAATATCATTTTGGTTTCTTTCTCGCCCAACTTTATTGACCATTATACTTTTTTTTTTCTCTATGAACAATTATTGTTTTTTTTTTTAATTAATTTTTTGGTATTCAAAATTTATATTAATTTCAATTAATTAGGAATCATGTTATATTGAAATAAACATTTTTTTAGTATTTATTATTTTATTTATAATATTTAAAATTAAAATTTTATTTAAAAAATTAAATTTTTTTTATTTAAATTAATAAATAATTAATATGAGTAATAATTATTTGTATAATTATAAAAAAATAAATACAAATATTTTTGTA